AGAACCGGTTTAGTTGTCAAGCTCCAGTTCTCATTTCCGGATAGAGCATTAAAATACGCACGTTTTTATAGAAAACATCAATTTAGAAATGTTTCTAGTTTTCACGCAAGATTCGAAAATTTAAAATTAACGCGGATGAAAACCGCCCTTAGCCTTTTGCTCATATTTTCAGAACCGGTTTAGTTGTCAAGCTACAGTTTTCATTTCCAGATAGAGCATTAAAATGCGCACGTTTTTATAGCAAACATCAATTTAGAAATGTTTCTAGTTTTCACGCAAGATTCGAAAATTTAACATTAACGCCGATCTTGAAAACCGCCCTTAGCCTTTGGCTCATATTTAGAGAACCGGTTTAGTTGTCAAGCTCCAGTTCTCATTTCCGGATAGAGCATTAAAATACGCACGTTTTTATAGAAAACATCAATTTAGAAATGTTTCTAGTTTTTATGCAAGATTCGAAAATTTAAAATTAACGCCGATCTTGAAAACCGCCCTTAGCCTTTGGCTCATATTTAGAAAACCGGTTTAGTTGTCAAGCTCCAGTTCTCATTTCCGGATAGAGCATTAAAATATGCACGTTTTTATAGAAAACATCAATTTAGAAATGTTTCTAGATTTCACGCAAGATTCGAAAATTTAAAATTAACGCGGATCTTGAAAACCGCCCTTAGCCTTTCGCTCATATTTTCAGAACCGGTTCAATTGTCAAGCTCCAGTTCTCATTTCCGGATAGAGCATTAAAATACGCACGTTTCTAGAGAAAACAGCAATTTAGAAATGTTTCTAGTCTTCACGCAAGATTCGAAAATTTAACATTAACGCCGATCTAAAAAACCGCCTTTAGCCTTTGGCTCATATTTAGAGAACCGGTTTAGTTGTCAAGCTCCAGTTTCCATTTCCAGATAGAGCATTAAAATACGCACGTTTTTATAGAAAACATCAATTTAGAAATGTTTCTACTCTTCACGTAAGATTCGAAAATTTAACATTAACGCCGATCTTAAAAACCGCCCTTAGCCTTTCGCTCATATTTTCAGAACCGGTTCAGTTGTCAAGCTCCAGTTCTCATTTCCGGATAGAGCATTAAAATACGCACGTTTTTATAGAAAACATCATTAAAAATGTTTCTAGTTTTCACGCAAGATTCGAAAATTTAAAATTAACGCGGATCTTGAAACCCGCCCTTAGCCTTTGGCTCATATTTAGAGAACCGGTTGAGCTGTCAAGCTCCCGTTGGCATTGCCAGATAGATCATTAAAATACGCACTTTTTAATATAAAATATACTGAAGTTCTATGATTATAAGTTATACTAAAGCGTTCTGTTCTTTCTTTCCAGATGGCCACATGCAGCTTCGTTCCTGGTTGCGGTATAGATGTAGAACCGATTGAGCTCTAAAGCTCCAGTTGCCATTGCCGGATAGACCGTAAATACAAGCACTTTTCTATATGAAACATCAATTTAGAAATGTTTTTGGTTTTCCCGTAAAATGCGGAAATGAAAAATTAACGCGAATTTTGAAAATCGGCTTTAGATTTTGGCTTAAATGTCCAGAACCGGTCGTAATCGCCGGATAGAGCATTAAAATACGAACTTTTTATATAAAGCATCAATAACCCACATGCACAGCTGATTCTTTGCCAGAAAAACAGCAACTCAAGCCTTTGGCCTGCGGCTGTTGCAAAATTAGCCAGTCAATTGAACAACGCCGCAGGACTGGGTCACTTACCTGCGTTTGTCCACCGCAGATTCTTTGACCGGAATGTAAAAACCAAAATTGAAGCCTCTTTTTTCGATTAACCGTCTCACTTGCCTGGCACTTTTCGTGTGTGCAAATTTACGGTGGAAGATCGCGACGGAAAAACTGGATATCGACTATCCTGCCGTATGTTTTCTGCTGCAACGCGAGCACGCAGGACAAAATCCGGAGCCGGAGTGCCACTGCGTGACAATGTCCCAGTATTTTGCAGGAGCGAAAGAGAACGTTGGTAAATTAGGTGACCCAATCTGTGAAGGCGAATTTTCAATTTAACTAAAAAAAGAAATACTTACAAAAATAGCGTCGTCGGTGGTTGAGTGCTTTCCTGTACTGCGGTCACAACCTGCTTCATAAACTTGCACTTTTCATTCGAAGCACTTTTTTCTGAAAGAAAAAGAGAACAGAGCTTGAGATTTATTTGCGTGCTGCACCAGATTGGATTGTCCATAAAATCAGCCAGAAAACATTTATACAGGGTGATTCAAACTTGGCGTCATTCCTCTTAATTGGGGCTCACTTGGAAGGCAGGCTTTGAAAATATTGAAGTTTTTTTTCGATAAATTCTAGAAGATATTAACAGTTGAAAATCGAATTTCAACTTTGTTTTTAAGCATTATTTTCAAAGTCTTCCATGTTTAATTGGAAGCATATTGGAATACTTAAGCATTCAAAAAGAAAAATTACGATGTTTGCTTCAAATTTTTTTCTTCAATTTTTGATATTCAAAAAGTTCTCTTCTACAATTTTTTGATGAAAAGTCAAAGCGGCAATAATGTTTTTTTGCATTAACAGACTCACATTAATCACTTTCTCTATTTATCCATGGTTACCGGAGCTTCAAATAATCAGGAAGCAACAGGTATTTACATAATGTTAATTAGGCAGATTACCTTGAAAAACATTGTTGCCGTGTTTCTAATATAGTTTTTTGCAAATTTCTCAGTTTTTAATCACAATTAATGTTTTTTACTATTTTTTCTGGTATTTCAAAACCTAGTTTTGCGAAGTTTCTGTACACCCTCACAGTGTTCTTTAACTTTAGTTAATTTTTTCCAGTTTTTGAACTTTTTCATTGAAAAAATTCGATTTAAAATTTCGCGTTGTTTAGTCATTACCAGCACCATACATGTTTGCCTTGAGCTATAAACCAGTCAACAGCTGGTTCATTATCAGTCGTGTTGTTATCAGTTATTTTGGAATTAAGTGTATTTTCATCTTAATATATCAAACTGGGATGTTTTTACTAGCGGAAGTTTTCACTTTTTGAATGTTTCTTCTATGTACTTGTAAACAGATTAAATTTGGCTACCTTTATTTGCGGCTTCACCCTCGCTCTTGGGCCTCATGCCTTTTACCAATCTGATGGAGCCTCGCACGCTTCTACTAATCACCCGCCTTAAACTCAGCGCCTTCGGCTTCCTCAGCTCCACTTCCTCCAGCTCGGAGTCGCTGCTTTCGGAAAGTCGGGTTTCCGTTTCTTTCTCGGCATTTTCACTCTCGCTTTGCACTAACTTGCTGTCCTCAACATGTGCGTCTTTTGCGTCTTCCTCTCGGTTACTGTCCGCCATTGGTTTTTCCTTTGCTGTTTCAGAGTCGTGTTTCAGCAAGTCACTGTAACGCCACTGGCCATTTCTGCAAGTATTTGCCATTAAATTTCCACGCTTTCTTCGTGGTTGGGCCTTACCTGAGCTCTTGTTCGCTGAGTCTGGAGTCACTCGAGTTCCTCTTCAAGTTTGAGGGAATTTGCCCTAAAAACTCCTCGCTTTTCGATAGGTGGTTCTGAGAGGAGTCGTCGGACTGGGTTCGGAGCGGCTGATTATTTGGCTCGTTTGAAGAACTGTTCTCGTGTGGTTCTTCACTTTTTGGAGCTTCAGAATCTCTCTCTTCCCAAGCAACTGGCTTTGCCCCATTGCTAACTTTGCCAATCGGTTGGTCCAAGCATGCACTTTTGGGGTCAGGATTTGGATCCGACATAACTGTGGGTCAATATCAGCTAAAACAATTCAAAGCTCAGCAAAATATATCGAGTCTTTTCGCAAAAACAAATTGGCGATTTGAACGTGTTCCCGACTGATTGGGATTCAGTAAACTGCTTTGAATTCTCTAATGAAGATTTAGCTGCATTTGAAGACTCCGCGCTTGCAAATTTAGAGATAAAGCGCTAAAAAGCTTACCTTATGGCTATTGTATTGGCACCAGTTACTTCATCACTAGTCACTAAAACGTAAAACATTAGCACATAAAACCGTGAAACTAATCCGGATCTTAGATGCGCACTGTTGGTTTATCAGTCGATGTGTAGCCGATAATCCAAGCTGCTCATTACTCATTATCAACGCCTTGATCATTATTATTTGCTCTTATCGGTAATTTCACTTTGTTGATGAGATACTAAATGCGCAAAACCACCGATGTCGGATTGTGGGATCCTGATGACCGTTGAATCAGGTGGAGGTCATCTAGCTGGTCTTTAGTGGGTTCACATTGTTTAATTCATCACCTTCTTGGAGCAGGAGTGGCACTTGTGGAATTTTAAGAGTGTCCTCTAGAACAGCGCTAAATTTAACATAAAAAACAAATATTCTAATTGGAGAATATTTTCGGGCAATTACAAGCAATTAATTGCCGAATGATTAATCGGTTCTAGGAAATTGACATTATTATTACGTAAAAAATTAGTGTTTAACGTTGGCTTGCAAAAAGCCCCCAAAAACCAGAAGCGGTTTAGAAAAATTCTTGGAAATTTCCTGATGATGTCTGAAAATTCAAACTTTTGCCACTTATAAAACAGACCATGTCCAAAAAAACCCATGCAAAGATCAACGTGTAACTTAACGGGTTTCTGAAGAAATAATTGCCAAACTCCGGCCTGCATAAGCAAGCGTCAAATACGCAGAAAATTTGAAAAATTCCCCAAAATATCCCGAAGATGATGCAAAATCGAAATGCTTTTCACGTATAGAGCCAGGCGTTGCCCTACAAAATGCTCACAAAAACGACTCTCTTTCTCATGTGGTTAGTTCTTTCTCATGTGGAATAAATAACTGCCAAGCTTCGATCAGTAAAAGCAACCACGTAAACCAATCGCAATTTTGAAAAATTGTCAAAAATTCCCAGATGATGACTCAAAATCGCAACTTTGCAATCGAAAAAAGCAAAATGCTTCCAAATTTGCCTTCCTCACCTAGGGAGTTGCAAAAAAAATTGTGTTAAACGTTGGCTTGCAAAAATCCCCCAAAAACCAGATGCGGTTTTGAAAAATTCTTGAAAATTTCCTGATAATGTCTGAAAATCGAAACTTTTGCCACTTATAAAACAGACCATGTCCAAAAAAACCCATACAAAGATCAACGTGTAACTTAACGGGTTTCTGAAGAAATAATTGCCAAACTCGGGCCTGCATAAGCAAGCGTCAAATACGCAGAAAATTTGAAAAATCCCTCAAAATATCCCGAAGATGATGCAAAATCGAAATGCTTTTCACGTATAGAGGAGCCAGGCGTTGCTCTACAAAATGCCCACAAAAACGACTCTCTTTCTCATGTGTTTAGTTCTTTCTCATGTGGAATAAATAACTGCCAAGCTTCGATCAGTAAAAGCAACCACGTAAACCAATCGCAATTTTGAAAAATTGCAAAAATTTCCTGATGATGACTCAAAATCGCAACTTTGCAATCGAAAAAAGCAAAATGCTTCCAAATTTGCCTTCCTCACTTAGGAAGTTGCAAAAAAATTGTGTTAAACCCTGGCTTGCAAAAATCCCCCAAAAACCAGATGCGGTTTTGAAAAATTCTTGAAAATTTCCTGATAATGTTTGAAAATCGAAACTTTTTTCATTTATGTATGATACCTTGCCTTACAACCTGTTGCCAAAGTGAACGTTCTCACTTCGCGAGTTACAAAAAGTACAAAAAGTAATAAATTGAAATTGAAAATTGCCTGACGATGACTGAAAGTCTAAACCTTTTTTCCTGATAGAACACACTTTGGCATACTAAATGCATAAACGAACTATGCAGTTTTCAGCTGGTTTTAGAGAGTGCGCCATCGATAAGGAAATGTTGGCAGTTTGCGACTTTTTTTGAGCGGAAAAATCGACTCAAACATGACGCTGCTTTTTTCGACGTTTCTCAAGAACCATTTGAGCCACAGAGTTCGTTTTGGCATCGTTGGATAGAGAATTAAAAACTCTATTCAGTCATAACAACGTGAGTGAAGAAATTCTAGTAGTTTTGACCCAGAAAGCGAAATTTCAATATCAGACATTTAGGTGCAAGATTATGCCAAAATTTCATGTTTTCCGTCCCGTTTTTGCTCATTTCTCGGAAGCAAAAGGTGCAAGAGCGCTTATTTTTGTTTGCCCTGTTGCAAAAGTGGACTTTCTCACTTCGCGAGTTACAAAAAGTCCAAAAAGGAATAAATGCTAGACTTTGGAGGGGAAAATGAAAAATTCTTGAAAATTGCCTGACAAATCGAAACCTTTCGAGCTTATAGAATGCACTTTGCGCAATTTGAACGCCCGATATTTCATAAACCGTTGAGAAATCAGGATAACTTTCAAGAATAATTTTTGCTTAAAATTAACCGTAGAATTCATAAAGGAAGATTTCTTGACGTTTCGCAAGCTCGAGTGGCTTGAATCTTCAGAGTGGTTGCGCCCAGCAAACCGTCACAAAAACACCTGTTTCAATGTGAATTTTCTTGAAAAAAGGCAGCAGCTGATTTTTTTTCAACATTTATTTGGTGTCTTTTATATGTACAGGGTTGTAATTTGGCTAAACTAGAAAAACAACAGCAACTAAATACAAAAATAATACAATATATAAGCCTAGAATCTATACTTACATTTGTTTAGTTAGTTAGTTTAGATATCCAATACTTCGTAGTGTTCATTAAAAAAAATTATATTTATATCTTTTATACCACGTAATGGTTAATTAATATAGCTTTTCATTTAAAGAAAGTTATATTTGATTCCTAAAAGCTACCGTTTGCTGTTCTAACCCGTGAAGTTAGAAAGCTCGGTTCTAACTGGAAATAAATGAAAAACACATTGCTGGATGAAAATGTGCGTTGTCGTAAAGTGAAGCCAGAGCTTTGTCTAAATTACAAAAATATACTTTGTGATCAACTGGATTATAAATATAATGTATAAACGAGAGTTGGAAACTCAGTATATTCAAACAGCAAGTCCTTAAGCCTACTATCCTACGTGCTAAACAAGATCTTACATTAATTATTATCTATTTAAACCATAAGTAAAGCTCTATAGATTCGTGTTCTCGCCATACATCTACGATTGGTAATCTTTTAGTATAAGTCCTTCGGGTTGGTACTTTTTTACATCATATATTAACGTACTAATTTCTCTTACTATCACAAACCTTTTCCAACAAATTACGGTAAAACATCTCTTTATAATTGCGTGCTGGTTAAAATTGATTTTCCAAATTTTAGGCGTTTCCTATTAAGTTTAGTTTTAAATTCAATTCAAGTTCATTGTTTTGTATTGATATCTTGATTGATCTAATTTTCTCCTTTCAACCTAATATGATTTAACTTCAATACGAAACGAGAAAAGTGTGGATTCCACTCAAACAAAGCCCGGTCGTTGCCATAAGATAAATGGCATGGAAATTGAGGTGCTCACTATACACTTACATATCTATTTTGAGTGCCAACAAATCAGCTAATATGTTACACTTTGAGATTAGTATGGGAATGTGTCTAAAACATCGATAACAGTTACGCGCTCACCATGTAAAATCGTGCATACAAAATTGAAAACCAGTCGAAAAGATGTAGAATTGGCATTTGAAGCTTAAAAAATTGGTTTTGAAACGGAATCAACCAGCCTCGATCGGGTTTACTCTTTGAGTTTATGCCAATCGGCAATCTGTCTTCTTGGCGAGTTGCAGACCTCGTTCCAGTGAGTGAGGGCCGATCCGGTGCATTTTGCTCCTCCTAAGTCCAACCTACCGATTACCTAAACAGAAATTTCATCGTTAGCACGCTTTCTAATCTTCGGAAGTTTAACTGTTTTAACTAAGTTTTTGCTCATTTCTCGGAAGCAAAAGGTGCAAGAACGCTCATTTTTACATCATTCCAGAGAGAACTAAATGGCGTTTTTACAGAGTGCGCCATCGATAAGGAAATGTTGGCAGTTTTCTCAAAAAAGTCTTGGTTTCACGAAGTTTTAGTTTTGCGTCTTTTTTTTGAGTGGCAAAATCGACTTGCTTTTTTCGAAGTTTCTCAAGAACTATTCGAGCCACAGAGTTCATTTTGGTATCGTTGGATAGAGAATTGAAAACTCGATTCAGT